ACTCCTCATGTGTCACTACAATTATGCTATCATTTCAATGCCTTGAAAAATGTTTCAAGCTTATTTTGACATGTTTTTGGCATATTATTTAATTAACCTTTTAACTGTCACCACATGGTTTTGTCACTTTCCAGAAGATAGACTACTATCAATGCTGAATTTATAACATTTTGGTAAAAACATTCAAAAACAATTTGTGTTAGATGTCCATTGTGTCCTAAGCTATTATACGAGTAACAATGTTGATCTTGTACACAAAGTGGGTTGCTGAAAATGTGTAACCTTCGTTCAATGAGAATATACAGATTTACACTGTATCAGCTGCAATTTGCATGATAGAACCAATACATTTGAACAAATTTTACCCAAGGACTCCATTTGTATTTAAAAAAACGGCCACATACAGTCAGAGTAACAAAGGATTTTCTGGTTTGCAACTTTTTCATTTGCTTTTGATCATATTGATTCTGAAAGTTCAATGCTTTTTTTGGTAAAATATAAGAAACACATTTTTGTATTCATGTACAAAAAATATAATTTGTGACAACTAATCACCAATTATACATATACATGTACATTTCAATACACCTGGGTAAGGAAATGTTAATTAAAGTTGCAAGTAAACTAAGTAAAATAAACCAGCCATAAAATAAACTTTTCTATCATGGAATCAACAGGATATGTACATTATATTTTATTATTTGTAATTTCAACTTTGAAAGTTTTCAAGAAAAATTATTTGTTTTTCCTTTAAGTATACCATATTTACTACACTGGCAAAAACTAGAACATCACTGCCAGCAATACATACCAAGAATTGTCTTTTAGTGCATCAGCCATTTTCATTTTCAGCCCATGTAGCTTTGTATCTCTTAGAGCAATTTCTTTGTCCTTCTCAGCACGAAGGTCAGCCAAGCGCTTTTCATACTATACACACAAAAAAACAAACAATAAAAGTAATGTTCATTATAAATTAGGCAGTTACTGTTTACCGTTGCCGTGATCTATAGATGAGATTCCCTGGCAACGATCATCAGCAAGGTTAAAAATGTATGCAAACAATAAATATCAACTGGCCTTCACCTGACCTTATCATAAAGTGTATACACACATGGATTTAACTTGTTGGTATATACACATTATATTATTGATTGTTGTTAGCTTAACAGTTATATTCAATTAACGTATGTCAGGTTTTTCCCCTAATGAACAGGTAAACTCTGTAATATTAGTTGGAAATCAGAGAACCACTGTAAATCCATTACATGTAATTATTCACTGGTTTTTCATTTTGTAAAACCTACTATAAAATTAAATTCATTTACCGGTAAACGTTTAATATCACAAGTCTCACTGTTTTACAGTGAAATACTGTAAAACACTTTATTTTATTTGGAATTAATTTTTGCTGAAAGAATAATTCAGTGAAAATAAAATCCAGCAAATATACCTTTTTTCCTATATTTTGCATTCAATTCGTCAAGTATTTTAGAGTACATGTATGTGAATTTAAAAATTATACCAAGTGAGTATATACCAAATAGTAAAATTTATATATTGACGTTTTACAGTATTATCTTATTCTTTTCTTCTTCTAGTTTACTGCCAAAATACACCTTACTTATGAACACACTGTGGAACTGTAATTTAAGTTTTATGCAGTGAACTATGTGACAGTAAAATATGTCATACTCCAGTAGTTGAAAATATGAAATTTGCATATTACCAATTTGGGAGCATTGGACTGTAGAACCCAGGATTTATCTATCAAATGGAAACCAACACGGAGAGAAGATTGAATTGAAAAATTATCATATTGAAAGTCTTGTTATAATAATTTGATAAAAGAAAGTTTTAGGGAAGTGGCAATATATAATGGATGATACTAGTCTTTAACTCCTTGAACATCATCATTCTTCAGCAAAATATTGATGAAAATGTTTTGCACATTTTTATGTGCTTTCTAGATCAAAAATATTTCTTTTTTTTCAAAGAAATAGGTAAACAACAATTCAAGCGTTTACAAGTTTTCCTAAAGATGTGTTTAAGTGAGAAAATGTGGATTGATGATACACACTGTCAAATAAATAGTTTTGTCTTATTTCACACTAAATAGCAGTGATACATGTACATTGAGATAATTTTAGTTTTCAAGATATTCAACTTGTATGATTCAGTCAGTATGCTTACCATAAAAGTTAGATCTTTAAGTTTAACATCATGTGCTTTCTTCATCTCATTTAGAATACTCTCTTTTTCTTTGACTAACTTCAGTGCTTCAGACAGAGCTGTCTTTGTTTTTTCATGCTCCACCTGTTCCCCTTCAAACAACTGTTTATATTTTTGTTCCTGCAATATAAATAAAAACAGGTTTTCATTTTACATTGTCAGACACAATAACCAGCACAATGGAATGTTAAATCAAAGAAAGCCTAGAAAGAACTCCC